AACACTATAACACGTAATCTAGATGATAAACAACGTCAGTACTTAAAATCTATACATGAAGACCATCATGTATTATTTGTGAAGTTGATACGGAATATTTATCAACAAGGTCTTGGTATCTTCCGATGAATTTTTTAAGAAAAAGGACGAGACGTTCTTTGACATAACCCTGTTTCATCAACTTTCTGCTCAGACACTGATGACGTTTTACCAGTCTGAGTTGCAGCTGCACGCTCTAGAATACCGAATCAGTTGGTAAATGTATATCCCATATTCAGGTGAAGTTGGTATATTGCTAATAAGGTGGATAAATTGATAATTTCTAAATTAAAATCGTCCCGTTTGTCAAATATTCTGGTACTGAGATGACCGCTTATGTCAAATTCGAGGTATAAGTCTAAAAGAAGAGGCAGAGGAATCCGTGTCTGTTGTTTCTTTAATTTCTAGTTCTGAAGGATATATTGATGGAACCCAATCAGAAAAGTTTGGATTGTTTATGGAAAGAACATCATCAATATATCTGAATGTGAAATTAAATGATCTGGCTTCTTTGATCTTCTTCGTTTTGACAAGTGTCTGAAGGAACTCCGACTCATTTGAAAATAAGAAGAGGTCGGCAAGGAGAGTCGCTAAGTTCGTTCCCATAGGAATGCCGACAATTTCTACGTCTACCTCCTTATTCAACAAATTTGTTTTCAATAAGACACTCCATCATACTGATCACTTGTTCCACTGTGTAGCACGTTTTACCTTTCTGTTCACTATTAACAAAATATGCCGTATGGTATCCCAAAGTAATAAATTTAAAGCGTATGCTATAATATTGATATTGAAAAGCATTGGGGATTATTTCTTTTAGACGATTTTTCAATTTCACATTGGGAATGGTGGTATACAGGGTTGAAAAATCAAAAGTTTTGATAGAATTAATTTCAGAGAAAGATCGGGATTTAAAATTATCCAGAAGTTCTTTAGAGTTTTTTTGAAACCACATATTGTTGATACCACTACGTGAGTAAACAGTTTCACAGTATTTCTGTAGACCCTCTTTAACTTGAGCAAACTTTCTTCGAAAATCCAAATCACGTCGCATTATGATAGAATATAGTGTGGACCAATAAATTCACCAATAAATGATTAAATATTCATCTCATCTTTATTAAAACAGTTGAGTATGATACAAAAGATGACTCCTAGATGATAAACACCACTAATGTACCACTTTGTTTTCATTATAAGATCCCTTTTGGTCCATTTATACCTCTCATTCCCTCAAAATGTGTACCTTTTAGGCTAATAAATCAATATTTTGGGGTAACTATCACATATTTATGTAAGAAATGTGAAAATTAATGAGTAATTGAAGTGTTCAAGATGAATGAACTATCCATATAAAAGTTTACTGACTCCATGGAGGTTTCAATAAGTACGTATAACTTAAGTTTATGCCGCGTTCGTGAGAGGGACATATAATGGTTCCCTTTTAGTAAATAATGTCTTGTTACTGCTTCAAACTACATTTCAATTACTTATTACTGTATATTTCTTAAAGAATTACTTAGAAAAAAGTTTTCTTTTATAGCCCAATGTAGAAAATAGGGAGAAAAAGTCAGAAAAAGCTCCTCGAAACACTGAGTATGGCTTGCTCTGCCTAATATTCATGGTAGAGCCCTATGTCAAGGCAATTTTCCCTCAAATGTGTTTTTTAAGACTCAAGGTTTAGCATGTTTGCAATATTTCAGTGAAATAGCATGAAATTTAAAAAAATGAGAGTGCATACAAGGTCAAAGGTGCATGTGTAGCTTCTCTAAATAGGAGTAATACCACCATTGTTTTCCTACAACTGTCAAATTCAAGGAAATATTTTTTTCGACCCTTTGTCGTATGAAGCCGGATGTGACGTACTACGATTTGGTGGTATTACACCTTAAATGATCTAGCTTCTTCTTCTTTTTTACAAGTGTCTGAAGGAACTTCAGCTCATCTGAATATAAGAAAAAGGTCGGCAAGGAGAGGTGCAGAGTTGGTTCTCATATGAATGCTGACAACTTTCTGGAAAACAGTACCTCAAAATTCAATGTAAAGCTCCAGCATACTGATCACATGTTCCTCTGTGTAAGCATGTTATATTTTCGGGCGTATGTTTAACAAAATATGCCGAACTATATCCCTAAACAATACATTTGTAGAGTATGGAAACAATTTTATGGAGAAAGGCATTGTGGATTATTTCTTCTGAACGGGTTTTTAATTTTTCATGTGGTATGGTGGTGTAAAGGGTAGAAAAATCGAAGGTTTGATAACATTTATATCAGAAAATGACCACGATTTAAATTTTCCAGAAGTTCTTTTTAGTACTTAAGAATCCATATATGGTTAATCCCACTACGCGAGTAAACAGTATCACATTATTTCTTCAATCCCTTTTTCACTGCGGACAAAGTTTTGGTAAATCTAATGGACAATTCCTTGGAAGAACATGCAGATGAGCCGGCAATGTACCGTTGTTTGTACGGAGTTTTGTGAAGTTAAGGTATCCAATACAAATAAGGTAAGTCTTCAGATTTGTTGCTCATATTCAATGAGGCCATGAAGGGCTTTTGGTCTGCCATGATCTCATGCTTATCAAAAGTTACGTTTTTGTACGTATGATTATCCGAGTGTTTATTTATTCCTGATACTTTGATAAGACACTCGTAGTCATAGGATTTACAGACAAAAACCATATTGTTTGAAGCTTTGTCCGCAAGACCAACAACATATTTATCGTGAAAAGAGGACAGAGATTCCACAGCTTCTTTGTCTCTTAATACGAATGTCTCTTAATACGAACTTAGGTCGAACATTTACAGTTTTTGTCAAATGTGGATTCGTCGTTGTATCAAATATCATCAATCGATGAAGACAAATCATGGCAACAAACAAAACCTGATGGTAACCAAAAGGAGCATGACCCGGTGTGGCGACAGAGTAAGCGTCTCCTGCTATAAATGCATCACCTGCCATGCGAGTCCACACTCATTCAAGATGTCACAATCGGTAAATTGATAGGTTAGACTGGTATGAAGAGATCGAATACTATAAAACGATGTCGCTAGTGATTTTACTAGGTTTAATCCACCATTTTCTACATAAGGATGTGCCTGTACCAAGTCAGAAATATGACAGTTGTTTTCCATTCGTTTGATGTGTTTGAGCTTTTGATTTTGCCATTTGATAACAGACTTTCCGTTTTGAATTTTCCTTGGAGTTCGGTATTTTTGTTATTTTACTTTTTTTTGGAGACACAAAAATATCTTATCGGTCAACCAATTCGTGAAGGTGGCCGTAAAGATTTGTCTCTATTGAATTAAATCACAAATATTGAAGACGAAGGTTTGTTGGTTTGTTGGGGGGTTTTTTTTGGGGAGGTTGTAGTATCATTGTGCTACTTTCGGCTTGACGTAAACACAATATGTCCTTTGATGCGGAATAAATTTATTTTAGGTTTAGTTTTTTTTCAAAATGAACGAAAGTTGACACAAGCCAACAGTAGTAGACTCGATAAGATAAAAGTCAACTACATAAACTGACATTTTTCGCCAATTGTGAAATTTCTTTATCCTTTTAGAAAATTTATCAGTTCCATATCAAGTTTTTCTTCTACTTTAAATCGGGGTTAAGATTAATTAAGTTCATTTTACTTCAAGAAGCTTTAAAATAAACTCTCGAGTTACGCTAGATTTTGAATCCACCGAATTCAACTGATGGGAGTTAGAAAAAAAACATTTATCAGAAAAGAATTTAACAGGCACTGGCGAAGCACGTCGAATGGATATATCTACATTACATTTTATCCGAAGTATTTCATACCCTCGTAAACGTCGAGCATATTATTGTTTTGTATAAATAGAGGTTTTGTTATCTGTTAAGATGGTGGTCAGAACTATTCCTAAACTGTTTATATAGTTGTACTTTTTATAAAAAAAATTAGTAAAAAGGGATGTGTGATCACTAAAAACTAGTTTAAACCCACAACATGTGATTATGCCTGTTTCATTATGGCATATTGGCAGTGGTTGTCTTTTGTCATAAATCTTAACGTTTTTTGCTATTTTGAGAATTTGATGTTTTAATATATTTTATAGATACCTCTCTTTTGTTGCTCTTTATTCTTTGAATATTGAATTAAGAAGTGATAAAATAATCATACACTTACATTTTTTAATTCAATGTTTCAAAATCACGTACAAAATAAATTGAATAACGGCATACTATTTACATACACCTTGATTTAGTTTTCATTTAAACCACACATTAGTCAAAAAAAAAAATGACCATGTGAACATCGGGATGGATGCAAAAAGGTCTATGATCTTCAGGAATCTTTTGTTTATTTAATATATACAATGTACAATCTAAAAAATACTCGTTATGTTTAATTTTAATTAATTTCAGCTAGTTTTGACGTCATTAGATAGAACGTAGCTACGAGTTATTACGCATCTTTCTTTAAAGAAGTATATACAATTTGCACTTAATATGTACGGAGGGGTTTCCGTGCTATTGTTCATCATGTACGTCTTCGTTAATTTGCGCATGATGAATTTCTGTCCTTCGAGTAAGGTTTTCTGAATACACTTAGATTTTTCCCATAAACATGATAAATAGTTTGTTTATAAATAATAAGATCTTTCTCATAAATAGTAGCTTAAATTAATTTCAACAATGTACATGTTATACTTTAATTCAGAAATATAATAAGGCTGTTATGTTCGAATAATCCTTCAAATACTTGTATTGTCGGGCTGTTTATATACTTTTTAAGGTTGTATTGGAATATAAACGAAAACGGATAAAACAAATCATACTTTGCCAATATGTAGTGTATATTGTGATATGTTCAAAAATATAATAAAAATTATGATTTCAAGCTACAGATTGTGAAAATGTGGATTATACAGAGAAAAGGCATCATTATGTAAATAGAAGGTAAACTAAATGATAAATTCACATAAATTTGTACATTAAAATAATATTAATAATAATGATATTATTTTATAAATGAAAGGTTTTTAAAGGAAATTGCACTACTGCATCGAAATTGGTGACTTGATTCAGTTATTTTGCAATCTACTCCCATTATACCTTAATTTCATTCTCTATCTGATAACACTTTCTTCAGGTTATTCCAAAATACAGCGTTACCGTATTCGTCATTTGGAAATTCCATGTACGATCGCGACTGAACCAGCTCCAGTAAGACCAAAGGTAACCTTTTTGTGGGGATTTGCTCCAAAAAGATTAAATAGAGTACGTTTTCTGCGTTACGTGAGTAAATACTCTCCATGCGTGCCATATTGAATTCAAACATGCACCAGTATGAATTAAGAAAATTTTGCGTGATTATACACACGGTTTTGCGACTCCGGTGGATGGCATCAGTTATGTTGGCGGCTATTTCATTTCCGGCAATAAAATCCCGTTTGTGGACACAAACTTTGAATTGGCCATCTCTTTCGATATTAGTCAAAAGTGTGTTATGTACAAAATATTGGTCTTCGTCTTCATAGGAAATGAATGCGTCGTAGTCGTAGATTTGCTCGTCTGGAAATACATTTGATGTTCTTTTATACCTAGATTTTGCCATGAAAAAGAGATATCGCAACTTCCATCGGTATCTATAAATAAGTCCACATACTAAGATAACGACAAATATGATAAATGTGATAGATACCACAAGTATTACCTCCCATGATGAAGAGCATTCTTTTTCCATCGATTTGTAAAGTTCGGTGGGATTTTTCAGCAAAACTTTCGTTTCATTCGCAAATTCACAGAGGTAGGATGATACGCTTTGCAGATTGACTTTTGTCGATGCTATCCATTTCAAAAATTTTATATTTTTACATGTACATTGGATGGGGTTCCCTCTCAGGTCAAGTCTAAATTTGCCATTTTCTTTTGCAATGGTTTCAAGTTCATCCGTTTGGTCTGGGTCTATATTTCGGATGTTATTGTTTGAAATATCAAGAAACAAAAGACTCTTCATATGATTTAATTTTAACTGAAATTTTTCAATAGAATTTCTCTTCAAACTGATTTCCTTCAGTTCATTTTGTGATCTAAATATCAATTTGGGCAAATAATGTATTTTATTATCCGACAGATTTATTGTTTCCAAATGTTTAAGACTTCTGAATACCTCTTCTCCCTCTCTTGTTGCAAAAACAACCCCTAAACAATTATTTTGAAACATCAGCGTCTTGATATTCGGTGTCCCAGAAAAGAACACATTTGAAATATCGGGACAATTATTAGAAGACAAATCTAAGTAGTTTAGCTTTAGAAGATTGTTTAGCGGCCCTATACAGGATCGAAATTTATTAAAAGACAAATCTACCCTTTCCAGTTCATTGTCTTTAAAATGCACTTCTGGAATTTCAAACTGTAGACCACCACCACTCACATTCATTTCCCGGAGAGTTTTAGGTAGACCGGAGGCCAAAAGAACTGCAATATTCAAAAATTCTAAATTTTGTGTTGCTAATTTCATTTTTTGTTTAACATACTCTGACGGACGTGTTCCATCGAATGAAAACTCAAAGTCAAATCCTTTAATAGCGTCTATACACCATGGCCAAATGTTGTCTTCGTTAATAACCCGATGTGTAATAGATGATGATACATTTAAAACTTTAATCGATAAATATTGTGTTTCTTTGATGTAAGTTCCCGGCATAAGGAAATTGTCATTAATTGAAATCTTTTCTAAAGATTTTGGTAATTTTGGAATAACGCCTAGTTCAACTAAACTAATTCGGTTACTATCAGCATAAATCTTCCGTATTTTTGTTTTCTTTAGCTCCTCCAGATGAGTCTTTTCAATCATTGTGAAATGTGATAATGGCGAAATTACCATCTGAAATTTAAAAATTTCTATTGCTGTCATCGGCAAGTCGTGCGTAACATTTTCCACACCGGAAAAGCCTAAATCTTTATTAAAAGATATATCTAAAAAGCGTAAGTTTCGTAAATGAACAAACGTTCCTTTCCAAATCTTAAGTATGCGATTTTTTGATAGATCTAAAGAATGCAGTGACTGAAGACCGGAAAAAGTGTCAGAAGTCAGTATAAGAGATCGACAAGCTGACCTGGGTCCTGACAAATCCAAAGTCAATAAAGAATTGAGGCCTTTTAAGTGTTCACCAATAGCTAATTCTTCTATCAAATTCATTGACAATGTTTTTAAAGATATCAATGCTGTTATGTCGGGGACTGATAAAATTGAATTGTTCTTGATATTGAGATACTTTAGCTTTTGAAGATAGGTTAAACTTGTTTTCATAAATGAATTGTTCTTTCCAATATTATTGTTTTCCAAATTCAAACTTAACAATCCTTCGAGCCCATTGAATGATCTGGGGAACAGTCTTTCAATCTTGTTATGTGCTAAGTTTAAATCTTTCAGACGTACACAATGGACGAATGAATCATCCGGTATTTTATAGATATTGTTTCTGGCTAGGATAAGTGTTTTCGTATATTCCAAACAATTTGGAATCTTTGACAAGTTTTGATGAGTGCAATCTACTTCTTCAGCTTTGATATTCATTTCACAAGAGTTCATTTCCAGAGATTTTCCTTTGCAGCCAAGACATAAGACAAAAGTAGAGATGACTATTATTTTGATCATGTTGAAATACGTGTTTCCTGAAACAAATTATATATGACTGTTAATAGATTAAACCATTGTTATTTGTTAGAATTAAAACAGTTGTGGCTTCATGGCACTACGTATCCTTCCGAAGCATTCGAGTTGGCCCTTTATTTAATTTTTGTGTGAAATCATAAGTCTGGTTGGTAGGTTTTAACAAATTCATCAAAGATACAAGGCTTGTAATTTGGTACGCTAGACCAATCTCCGGCGCAGAGTTCATATCCGTTCCGTACATGCTCCGCAATACTACACTTAATATTGAGTGTAGTGTTACGAAGTATTGAACGGAACGGATATGAACTCTGCGCCGGAGATTGACGCTAGACGAGTGTTTTGTATACATAAGATTCGTCATCAGTGGTGCTGGTGTCAAAACAGTTGGTAGGCTAAAAGAAAAACGAAGTTTAAGAGCTTTAAAAACCGTTACGTTGTACCAAATACCGCTATAGTAATATATGCCATGGGGACGAAAAACTTAATTTATACACTAGGTATTTAATTTTGTAATGGTTCTTTCTGTTTAAAACGATCTGAGAAAAACAGAACAGAATTTCAACTAGTATGTACTATCCTGTTTATGTATATTTTCAGATAAATCCAATTCGGCACGTTCAGTACTGCTCAGATAGTTGGTGTTCTGTCAATAAAGATTCGATCAGTCTATATTTTATATGTTAGATGGTTGTTCTTTATCTGTGCTTAGTAGAAGCAAGGAGATACTTTTAAGTCTAATATAACCTCCTTGATCAGGGGCAACAGTAATATACTAATGTTCAAAACTGATCAATTCATTTTGTATAAACAAATCAATGTAATAAAAAAGGGGCAACAGGGTAAGCGCCTCTTGCTATGCATGGATCACCCGTCATACGAATCTACTAAAAGTAATACTATTTAATGAATACTGAATCACCTTTACTTGACTGTGAGCGAAGTTTCTTAACAGTACTGAGAAAAATCAAATAATTTCAATTAAACATATCATTCGGCAATATGACCATAAAAGGTATTAAAAATCATGAACAAAAAATTTATGATTCATTTACTTACATAATGAACAGTGGTCCATAGAGAAAAATAAAACATTTCAATTGAACATTCAAATTCGTGTTAATAAATATGACTATTGAAAGGAGGAAAAATCGTGAAAAACATTATTTAAGAAGCTTGTACTTGCGTTATGAACATTAGTGCGTAGAACTACTGTTACAATTGAAAAACAATTACAGTACCAATTTTACTGCACGAGACAAGTAATGAATCGCTGATGATGCTGGAGGACAAAACAGTGGAAAATCAGCAACATGATACAAACATTAAAGAGCTATATAGCTGAAAAGTCTAAAAGTACACCCAACTACAGAAAAGGATTCCGCTATACATGAGGATAATACAATCCTTTATCAAAATTATATTCTTTAATTTTATAACAGCAAATTTCAATATAAAATTCGGATTAGAATTCAGAAATAAGGCATTTGAGAGAAGGAATAATCGCGAAAGGGACATGGAATCTGGGTGAAAAATGTCAACAGACATTTAATTATTGTTTTGAATATTCATCAGTCGGCCGCTTTGTCAACGTGTTCAGTTGAGTTATATCAATCTAATAAGCAAATGACATATATTACCTTCATTGTGTGTCAAAGCCAGAAAATAAGTTGAATTGATGCCATAAAGATAAGTCTTAGTATAATTGGTAGAATCAAAAGAGAATTCAGAAATTAATATGACTCTTTAGAAGACCGCTAAATAGGAAATGTAAAGTCGGAAATAGATGCTCGGCCTGTAGACTTAATACATAGTAATTCGACTTTCAAAAGTTAATGTTAAACTTTTACAAATCGTCATGTTAATACTAAAATATTTCCAGATGTCTATACAGCCCCATTTGTGTGTAAGTTGCAACGGCATCAACATTTATGCAATGTTGAGAAATGGAAAATATACAGTATCTTAGATCATAAATGACAAATTTCAGCATATGTAGAAGTATAGAATTGAATAAGGGGAGAACGATTTGATTCCGAGGGGGGAGGTGGCTGGCAGATTTTGGAAATAAATATTCGGGCCCCCATTTAGGTGAAAATAAATAATCTTGCCTTATCACTCATGAAAATAGTTTCTATGACTGTTAATGACGTCTTTACGCTTAATCCATTGGATGTTGGATATGAACTGATTGCTATTTTTGTCTTAGATACACGATTTTTTTATTAGTTGTTATTGGCTTCGAATTAGCTGTCTTCTCCTCTGCAGGAGTACTCTCAGATCTGTACTTAGTTTTTTTTTTTTTTATGGGGATGTATAAACACCCTGCGACATCCGGTCTGTGTCAATTGTTACTGGTTTTTTGTATTGATCTGATGAGTTACGCCCTTTTCAACTGGGTTTTTTTATTCGTATGTTGTGCTGTTATACCACTGTCCAAGGTTAGGGGAGAGTTGGGTTCCTGCAAACATGTTCAGCCCCGCCACATTGTATATGTGCCTGTCCCAAGTCAGGAGCCTGTTGTCGTTGGTTCATGTATGTCATATTTGTTTTTCGTGAAAAAAATGTTATAAATTAGGCCATTAGTTCTTAATTTCAATTGAATTGTTTTATATTTTGTCATGTCGGGGCCTTTTATAACCGACTGTACAGTATGAGGTTTTTTCATTGTTGAAGGCGGTACAGTTCCCTGTAATTGCTTACATCCACTTTATTTGAACTGTGGTGAATAGTTGTCTCATTGGCAATCATACCACAATTCCTCATTTCTGTATTGTCAGACGCATACAACTTATAAAATTGAATTTATCTTACCGAAGTATTGTCAGTGGTTATTTTGGAATGGAATTTTGTTTATGAAACCTTCTCCAAAAAATGTGATTCCCTATACTCGCCAGACATTTTACCATTTTAGACAATAACACCCCCTTTCCTTGGACCCTGGATCCTCCCTTGATTGTAAGGCTATTATATTTTCATATAAATAGAATATATATATTCTAGACTTTGTTATGACTGCTCTAGTTATTTGATCTAGGTGATCTGTATCACAAAAGCTAAATTCTTTATAGGGGTAAAAGGTTGATTTTGAGGGGAGAGAGGAGAGGCAGTTTTGTGTCAATTTTTGGATGAGTAGGAAATAACTATTCTGGCCCTGATTTGAGTGAAAATAAATAATCTGGTCACCTTTATTTTGGGAATAAATATTATGATCTCATCAAATTTGCCTGACCACCCCCTCCCCTCAGAATCAATGGTCTTCCCCTAAGAAAAGTACGGAGTTTTTAACTTGTCCGTTGTCACAAAATTTAGAAAGAAGCGTTTTTAAATTTATAATTTATTTTTGGGATCTCTTTAGAAGCGAGAGATTAATGTTTTATTCCAGCTTTCAAAATTATTGAAATAAGAAGCCATAGAATCAAAAAAAGTTGAAGCAAACATTCGCAAGTTTAAATAATAATTTTAGAATTGTTAAAAACTATAAGGTACTTTATAACTGAATAATTAGGATGCTACATAAACAGACGTCCCATGCTTGTTTTCACTCGTGGCGATTTAGATCATGCTTTGAAAAGATATGGCGTAAGTTCGAAATTGTACTCCGCATTAGTATGAACTGTCGCCATCGGTCTCTATTTAAGTGGTATCCACAAAAAATTGTCGTGTCCGATTTATGAAATATATTCTGAACAAATAATCATTTTAATAAAGCCTTATTTAAGTTTTAATAAGTTACATACGTGTACAATGGTGTCTTTGCGTCAGTGTTTGCCTTGCATCAGATACTGTGATCATTAACATTCTATTACATATCCGTAAAATTTGTATTATATAAGTATTGCTTTAAATTCTTCCCTGTAAATGTTTCCTGGCATGGTTTATACTATATTTTGGGGGTTTGCAATGCATTGCGAAAATAAATAAATAACACGGCTGTCATTCGGTATAACATGTATAAAGATAAAAATTATTGCCAAAAATTAAGTTTTTCGATATGATCGTGTAAGAATAGTATCGGACCGTTAAGGAATTCTTACCCAGAAGACGCGTGCATTGTCAATAGATAATCTAATTTATTAAATTATCTAGACAAATTTTGAAAAAAAATAAACTGTCTGTCAAAATGGTTCAACATTATGATCAGTATCTGAGGAAATCAGAGTTTAAAAGATCACCGTTTTTACAAAACTACAAAAGATAGCTCTCTCACATTTCAACGACATAAATAAAAAGTGTAAACAAACATTTTTTTTTTTCATTATATGAATGACTAAATTATAGTTCTCTGAACAATGTCGGCCTATATTAAGGTTTCAAATGGCTCGAAACATTATTTGTAGAAGCTTAAACAGAAAATGGGGGAAATTCAAATATTTGTATAATTTTTGTATTTATAATTGTGAAAGATCTGGTACAATTTTTTAGGTAATCGTGGAAAGCCGCTTTTGTGTCGCTTATTTTGCAAAGCTAAAATCATAGAAAGCATTCAAATCATTATGTAATGAATCGTAATTGCTACAGCAAAAGTCTCGACTAGTCCTTGGTGCCCAATAGCAATTACTGTACGTCTGTCGTATTATACGTAAATCTGATTTCAATTATTTTTTGTAAAGTATGTATATCTATTTGAGAAAATTCTTTGTCGATTGTGTGTTGAAAAAGGTGTGAATTTTGGTAACAACTCATTCTTTATTTTGTTAAAAAACTTAAATTTTGAAAAATATCTTTTTGAGTTAGGATTTCAATGGAACATGATAATTAGCTATAATTTGTTATTTCAAATTGACTCCATGGACTTCAAATTAGCGGTCTGTGAAAAAGGGGGAAATGTGGTTTATACTTAGTTTTTATTTAAAATTTAACAAATTATGATTTCATCATCATGTGCTAGGATTTCAACAACAATTTATATTTAGGTATGATGGAAATCAAAATTGATTCCCAGTGCTTAATTTTCGGTAAAAAAAACCACGAATCTTAAGAAAACGATT